GCAACCATGGCACCATCGTGCCATCAGTGTGCAAGCCCCAGGCGCGGGTTTGAGGGAGGCTGCTGTGGGGTGCCAGTCACATGGGTCCCCTGTGTGAGTCCCTAGCTCTGGCAGATCACAGGTGAAAAGGATTGTGAAGGTCTCATCCTGAAGCCTTCTGCTGATGACAAAGTCCTTTTTCTGGTCGCAAAAGAGGAGAACAGCTGGCAGTGGCTGTCAGCTCTTCCTCGTTGAGCACCTGATGCCCAACTGTGACAAGCAGGTCCTGAGGCACATCAGCAAAATGGTGTCGTGCTCTGGCGCAGTGGCTTGGAGAAGGCAGGGATGCACTCTGCTAACCCTGGGACACATGGCTGGGCTCCAGAGAGAACCTTCATGCTGAAACAACGGGACAAGGGACCTCTGGGGAGGAGTGGGGGAAATGTCCATCTTGAGAGCCGTGTAACCATCAGGATCAGTGGATTAGGAGGCAGCATGGGATCTGGTTGCCAGCATGGAATGGTTGTTGGGAGCACTAGGCCAGGTCTGAAATGCATTGGCAGATCTGTGAGAGGAGCTGTGCTTAAGAGCCACAACACTGAATCACTTCCCAGAAATCCCCTGTCAGTCTAAACCATAAACACCGGGGAGAGTGGAAGGTGGGGACATGTGTTTCTTCAATTTCCTACAACAAAGCAAGCATAAAGGGGATTAGGAAGGCAATGCTGGGGGAAAAGAGAGGAAGATTTAGAAGGGAAGGGAACATTAAGATTTAGAGGGATAAAATGCAGATTGAAGTTGTTGGGCCAGAACAGAAGAACTTCTCAGTCTATATATTTAGCTCAGTGAGGTATATAAACAGAAACCTACAGCCAGCTCAGCCACTTCTCCCCCAGTGGAGTGAGTCATCAGCCCTTGGATCTAAACTTAGGTTCACGTCAGAGCTTGCACTCTCTCGTTTTATTTTTCTCTTTCTATTTTGAAGGGTGTGGGAAAAGCTGAGCACCATCTCCTGGAAGGAGCAAATATAAACCCACATCAGCAACAGATGCCAGACCTGATGCCCTACCTGGGAGCACTGTGACAAAGGCTGATTTCTGTCTGGCTGCTCCTCTTCCTTGCTGCATGCCTGGGGATGAGCTCAGCCAACATGCAGCCATGACTAACCTGGGCATGCAGTGGACTGAGCTCTCAGGGGTCTGTGAACTGTGTAGATGAGCCAGAGAGTGGGAGGGGCTGCACAGTCATTCCTGGGGGCAACAGCACCATGATTCTCAGCAGTGGTCAGTGTTTGGCTCCCATATGCTATTCAGGAGAGCAGGGTTTGCCATCAGGGCTGGCAAGAAGGACTGGGCTTGGTCACCCGGCAGGAGGCAGGATGATGCTTGTGAGACTCGGTTAGAGGCTGCCTTTAAATCCAGTGTAGGTTGCTGCCTGGTGAGCTCAGCCCACAGCCACCTGCAAACCTGCAGAAGAGAGGGCTGCATCTCCCCAAGCTATTACTACAGCCTTTATGCTTTGATACAGCTCCCCCTTTCCTGCTTGTTCCCTTTCTCTGTCTACCCTCTGAAACAGCTGCAGTGAATCACACACTTTCCCTACTAACCCATCAGCCAGTGCTGCTGGCTCAGGTGGTGACAGGGACAACATGGACTTTCCTGTTCCTCTCAAAAACCACAGAGAGGACAGTGAGGGACCCTTGGAAGTGCTCTGGATGCATCTGTAGGACCAGCTCGTGCCATGCTAACCTCTGGTGTGATCTACCCCCCAGATCGCTCCTTAGAGAGCCCACCTGCATCACTCAGTGCAGATGACAAAGCTCTTTGAAAGTGCCTTGGAGATTGAAGATGGAGCCCTGTGACTCCTGTGAGCTGCAAGACAAGAAGACCTTCATCTTCAGTCTCTTCCCTTGTAGATGGTGGAGAGGAGGGTTTTGTTCAGGGAGGGCAAGGGCTTCCCAGCCCAAGGTTTGAAATGGCTTCTGTGGGGGATGCCTGTGGTGTAGGTACCAGCAAGCCCATGGAAATCCTTCCCAGTATGTACATATGGGAAAGGTGTGGAGATGACAGGGGCTCTGCTCTGGAGCACGAGCTGCCCTGGGCTTGCTCTTCTCACCAGCTTCAAATCTGTGAAGTGATGAGTGGCATGGCTCCATTTCCCCACATGCCCCCTTTCCCTCTCCCCTCCTTTCAGGCTTGTTGCATGTCTTTATTGATTTGGATGGTTTGTCTGAGTGAGAGTTCAAATGTCTTGTTATCCCCATGTGTGGGCACGCTGGAAGGCAAACAGACATGATCCTGGGATGTAGACATGAGTGATGACCCACAGATTATCCTGGATGTGTATTTGTGTGCCTCTGTCCTCCTGTGCCCTCTGCATGTACTCTTCATCTTCCTTTACCATTTCAGTTTTTTTGCCTCTCCTTGCTGCTATGTTTCTCCATCCTGCCTCACCCTCTCCCTCTCTCTCCTGCCCTCCTCCTCATTCTCTTTTTCTCATTTGATATTCATGCATGAATAAATTCAATTGCATTTTTCCCTGTTCCCCCTGAAGGGGCATGTTGGTGAATTGCTGGCATCTGAAATCATACAACGCTCAGATTCATCATTTTGGGGACAGAATTGAAGCCCTTCTATTTCTCAGGAAGGAATAACAGATGCTTTTCATGAAGAGAGGGAGTGGCGAGTGTCTTGTGGTTGGTGAGGAAGAAGCCAAGGGAATTGACTTCGGCAGCACAGGGTGAACTTGCTAGCAGAGGGGACTAGAAGGTCAGCCAGCCCCTCTGGTGTGAGGCACACATAGGTGCGTGCATATGGAGTGTGAGTGACTACGGTTTCTGGCATGTTTGCTACATGTGGTGCTAGTGGTGCGCTTAGGGATGAGTAACATCTCTTAGGGGGCTGCCCAGAATTGGTTGAGGCAGAAGCTGTCTCAGTGGGGTGTCAGCAGCCTTGCACCAGGGTATTTAGAGCCATTGTCTAGAGATCTGTCTTGGCATCCGCCTCAGCTGACACTTGGGACACTTACATGGCTCTGTTATCACCCCAAACTCTACTCTGTGCCCAGCAGCACTTCTCCACTGCACTGAGAAGCTGAGGTTGTTGTCACAAAATCACGCCCATCCTGCACTTTGAGGGGCTTCCTGATGTGAATGGGACCTTGCTGTCTCCCTGCTCCAACATGGGAGCTTTCCAGCTCATGCAGGACATTGAACCCAGGGGCCAAAGGTGATCAGAGGTAGGTCCTGCACAGCTTCAATACAAACAGACTCTGACCCATTGTGGGAAGATGTCTGACCACCACAAAAAAATTATTGTCCTAGAAAAAAAATCTCTTTCCATCTTGTGGAAGATGCATAAGTTCACCATGGAACTGCAGCCCTGGTCAGAAGATGTGGAAAAAGAATGGCTGTACTTGTGTGAAGAAGAGCTGTTTTTCATAAGAGCTTTAATCAGGTAACTTTTGATGCTCACAACATTCCCATTGTTTACAACATTGCTATTTTTTTTTTTTTTTGTTTTTATCACTCCTGGTGTAGCCTGAGGATCCTCCGAGGGCTGAGTTTTCCTTTCAGGAGAGGTAACAAGATTAGACACTTTATTAAGCACAGAAGTGTCATGCTAAAAGCGGACAGCAGCCATCGTCTTTGTTCAAAAGACTTTTAAGGGCCTCATGAGAGACAGTGACATGCCAACCACCTTGCTCCAAGGCTCCAAGGAGCTTGGCTGATGTGATGTAAATGGCTAGAGGCTCCTTGACATCTGCTTCACATCCCTGGCATGTCAAAGCCAAGCCACACAGACTTGAATGGCAGAGGACAGGATATCTACTGGGTGTTTTTCACCCTCAGTGGTGAATGCATGTGAGCTACCTTGAGCTAAAACGAGGGTGGTTCTGACTTTACCAGAAGATGGGCTTGCTTCACTGACTTCCCACAGAGAATTAACATCTGAGGGCCTGTTTCACAGTATGATTAAAGTACTTAGTTTCCCAGCCATTTTTAGTTTAGATGTGTTAATTACCCTGACCCAGCTATTCTAGCCATGCACGCAAAGCTGCGACAATCGGTGCAGATATCATCGTGGCAAGGAAGGTTTGGAGAGGTTTTGTGTATTCCTGCAAGGAAGTCAAGGTGTTTTGGGGCTGTCGTATATGTTGTACCATACCCTAACTGGTAACTTGGCAATTGTTTAGCTCCTTATTTACAGTATATGCCCACAGCAGAAGCAAAAATGTCTCTCTCTCATAACAACTGGGGTTTTGTCTGAACAGGCAAAACCCATGAAAAGCCTTGAGGACTGTGATGGCTTCATCTCTTTCCCAGAGCTGACTTGGGGATCCCCAGCAGGAAAATGCTGCAAGAATTAGGGGCCTGTGCTAACACAGAGCAGGGCTGCTCAGCCGTGGAATGGGACCAGTGGAGGAAATGCTGGGTTGACTACCCATTGGATGAGGCTCAGGTCAGCAGTACTCTGTTTAGGCACTGGAGGGTGGGATCCCTGCATGTTGTCCATCCCCCTCATTTCCCCCTGACTTCACAAAATGCCACAGGAAACTAATTTGCAGGGAGTTGTTCCCACCCCCTGAGTTCCCATAATAGATCTGGTAGTAGGATAGGGGTAGAGAAGGGACTGGTTTTGAGCGAAGGACTTTTAGGGGGGGATTGTTAGTTTATTTTTTTAACTCAACTCAAAGGATAATTCTCTAACTTGCTTGATCTGTGACTTGTGAAGGGACATATGTTTACAAGTTCAGGGAAAAGCAGGCATGCTGAAAACCAGTGTCCATCAGAAAAGGAATGATGAGTGGGCTGAAGGCAAGGACAAATCAGCTGTCCTGAGACCCCACCATGGATGTGAGTGCGTGATGGTGTACAAGGAGATTTCTTCCTTTCCCCCCGTGTTGTTAGAATTCCTGCTTTCTCTGCCTCTAATTGTAGGTTTCCCCAAAAGACATTTGGTGTCACTGTAAGGACGGCGTTTCACTCTCCCTCTGCCTGTGCCGTTATTCTCTCTCTCTCACTGTGCAGTTCTCTCCATAAGCCGTTGGTGAACATACCATGAGACACAGGGAGAGAGAGAGAGAGACAGACAGAAACCACACACCAGCCCGTCCTCCTCACTTTCCCATCATGGAATAGCTAACCTTGCCCTCACCCACACCTCCATCACCTCTCAGCATCCCACAAATATTTTGACCCTCTCTAGTCTTTTTGGCAGGAATCTTCAGTCACTTCTTAACACCACCTGCCTGGAAAAACACACAGACAAAGCCCCCCCAACCCTCCTGAAAAGGAAGAGGTCCTTTTTTTAACCTCTTTTCATTTGCTCTGACCCCAGAGCTTCAGACTCCAGCCTGAGCAGCCACAATTTCTTACCATGTATTCCCCTTTTAAACCATCTCCTTCCTGCACACGCTCAGTCCTTGCAGGCACGGATCTAACACAACTCCCCGCTTCTCGCCGGCAGGTTCTTTGCTCCCCATCACTCAGCTGATCCTCATCCTTTTTTTTCCTATCCCCCCCTCCCCGGGCACTGAGGTGTGTGTATCTGTGTGTGAGTGTGCCTGTGTGCAAGGGGGGAGCGGGGGGGCTTTTTTTTTTTCTTGGTGGGGCGATTTTTTTCAAAGCATCTTCATTATTATTTTATTTTGATTCTCTGACTTGGACACTTCTCTCTTGGAGACTGCTTTTCCATGCAAAGGTAGGTGAGACGTACGCACACCTGGCTAACCTTGTGTCTGTCTCGTTTTGCTTGGTTTTGCTGTCCTTTTAATAGAAAACTTGCGCCCACCCATGTACCTGCATCATTCCTGTTTTGTTTCATACCTGTTTCCTCTCTGGCAGAAGTAAAAGCTGAGGGTAGACATGTCTGTAATGTTAATAATTCTGTCTTTCCAGAGAGGAAAGTTATTTCTCTGTGCATGTTCAGAGGTACCTGTATGTCCATGTGCAGTGCCTATATATGTGACTGCTTCTGTTTATCCAACAAGTAGCAATAATTGATTTTGGTGCGTGTTTTGGGCAGCAGTGGTGGTGGAGAGGGAACAACTGTATGTCCAGCAGTTCATGTCCATGAGCGATTGCAGCAGGGAATGTGTGTCTCACAGATAATGAGCAGCTCTTTATACACGACTATAAATGATACAGGGAGTGTGAATAATCCCAGGAATTTCAAATTTAGCCCTGGCTAGTTTGTTCTGTTATGGTGGGGAAGAGTGGTGGGAAAGAGGAAGGGTTACAGAATCTCCTTCCTGGAGAGGTAACTGTCTGAGACTTGTAAATATGTAACTTTTCTTTAAACCTTATCACTGTTTAAGGATTTCTTGGGTTTGGGGTATTTTTTTGCTTTGCAAAGCAAGACTAGGGTCTTGGATTCAGATTTCATAAATTGTCTTTTCTCGTTTTGTTTATAGCTATTATTGCATTTCAACTGCATATGCAACATCCGAAGTGTCTGAAAAGGGACAGGGAATAGGAGGTACTTTAATATAGCAAATGCATCATCTTCTGTACATCACTGGAAGCTGTTAGCTGGAGTCAGGGGGTGGTGGTGGGGGGAGAAACAGAAGAACTTAAAAAAAAAAAAAAAAGAGAGAGAAACAGGAATAGTATTAGACATTTTTAACCAGCAGTTATCTGGCATTTTTTCTGCCAATATTGGTTTTCGTAACACTCTTGATGGATATATTTTGCTTCTGTAACAGCAGCTGTGTGAAAAGTAACAGGGCCTTTAAAAAATAAAAAGCCAGAAAGAAAAAAAAAGTGTCAATTCCCTGTAAATTATTGCAGAGAAAAATGATAAACATCAAAAAGCAGAACTTGTTCTGCATTTTCTCTCGCTAACAGGAAGAATTTTTCTCATTCATCTGGGGGTTGCTAGTGGTTCTCTGTCGCTTAGAAGACTGCTATGTTAATTGTCAGTTGTTTCTCTGTGCTATTGCAGAGCTCTTGGTCTTAAATTTGGGCTTAAATTTGAAGGATTTATTGTCTCAAAGAAGGAAGGGGTTTGCTGTCTCTCCACTCCCCTCACCTCTCAGTTTAACTCTGACACATAAACTTCTTTATCAGTGGAAAAAAATCTGCAAGCACATTATCTTCTGAATGCCCTATATGCAAAGAAACTTTTAATTCAGAGCACCGGGAAGGGAATCCAAGAGCCATATTTCTGCCACCCCCCTTTATATTTTAAGGGTATCTTCTGAGCACCTCTCCCCCAGCCAGCACTGCCCCATCCCTGAGGTCTGGGCAGGTGCACAGCCTCAGTCAGGAGGCAGCTCCCTGCTGCCTGCAAGGGACTGAGAGCATTTACTCCTCTCTCTGTTAAATAACATAATAGTTTCATGGCGTTGGCATTGGATGTCAACTTCCTCATAAGGGCAGCAGTGCATGCTTGTCAGTGAAGGTCTAGTGCCACGATCCTCTCCCAGGAGAGCTGGGATGGAGGCAGGGGTGGAATCTGGGCATCACACTGGATTCCGTGTTGACTGGCAGGGTGTATGCATCAGGCTGGGTGGGTGAGGGTGCAGTACCTGTTTGGCAAAAGCTTGGCCCTGGCTGCAGCAGGAAGGTGGGGAAAAGCAGTTTTTCTGCAGATCTTACTGGAAAGCATGTGTCTAAGCACTGGCCACCTCGATGCACCAGCAGACGCACACTGCCTTGCCAGGAGATCTGGTAGTGAATATCTCAGATGAGAGTCAGGGGGACAAGGAAGGAGCTTTGATCTGCCACATCTAAGGGGTTTGCCTTGTGAAGCCTGAATCAATCTGACAGTGCCTATTATAAAGGGGGGTTATGCCAACCTGTTTTATATTTCAAAATCTCCTTTTGTTGCTGCCTCAGGAGAGTTTTCAGGCAGTGGACCTGGCCGAAGCAGGGCCAGTGCGGCCACAGCAGTCAAGAGGGCAAGGGGAAGCATTATGGGAGGGGGATGCTGATTCAGAAGAGCTCACTGCTTGCTTGTGGTGTTTCTGGGTAAGTACAGTGGCCTTAGTTGTGACATGAGGAGACCTGAAGGGCTCCTTGGGATCTATCAGAGTGCACCTACCATGCTGGGTGAGCTTTCCTGTGTCCCCACTCTTGTTCCCACCAAGAGTGGCACCTTCCTTGCTGGTCCAATCCTGAGCATCCTCAAAGTGCCAATAACGCACTTGTATCCCAGGCTGCAGCTCTGGCATCTCTGCTGGTCCTGGGATCTCTTGAGTCCTTCCTTCCTTCATTCCTTCCACCAACCCACTTCACACCTGGCTGCATTACTGCTGCCTGATGTGGTTTTGGAGAACACATGTGTCCATGCCCAGTGTGACACGGTCCCAACCTACAGCCCTACTTAATGTTAGAGCCCTGCCCTATCCCACCCAAAGCAGGACACACCAAGAGGGTGTTCCAGACCAGGGTGGCCTATGCTGAGCCCTGGTCACTTTGATTTTGGGAAAAGCCTGCAATTCTGGGCTGTGCTGCAAAGAAGCCATATGCTTGGTCAGCTTTTTTCCTAGGGAAAAGAAAAACGTTGAAACCAAGTTTGGTTGTTTTTTTTTTTTTTTTCTCAGAGAGAACAAGTATCTACAGCTGTAAACTCATGAAAAGCACACACAGTGTTAGGAATCTTTAAAAAAGCAGGGTACTGATTTAAAATCAAAGTCCTAATCCTGCAATTCAAACAAACAGATGAAGGTCTGCAGTTGCCCAGAGCCTTACTAAAACTGCTGTGTCCATGGATAGGTTCAGAAATCAAGTGGTACAGGTGGATCTGCAAGATCATGCAGTACCATTTCCTAGCTGTTTCAAAAAATCAATTAGATGGGATAACGTAGGGCTGATTCTGAGAGTGTTCAGGATCTACAAACCCCTAAATTCTACTGGAAAGTAGAGGTTTCTTCCCCGTTATGCAGGGGTACATCACTGTTTATTATGACCTAATATAGGCCGCTTATTTAGTTTATTCGTCTGTCTCTGAAGTGCATACCTTGAAGCTCTGAGAAATCACAGAGGTTTGAAAAATGTCTTATACTGATACAAAATTTATTTAAGCCCTCTAATCATAACTGAGACGGCATAAATCAACCCACTAACTTGGTAATAAACTCCTCACTCTCCCGGTACTTGTCAGGCGCCTGTGTTTGAAGCACCGCAGTGTGCCCTGAAGAGCAATCAGCCCGGTGTATCAGGGAGTAATTGCAATGAGATCTCAGAAAATGCCTTATCACTTGCCTTGAACTGGAGGTGTGTGCTGCTGTGGTGGTGCAGGAGGGAAGTGGTTTCTTGGCTAAGCTAGGCTCAGTCATCAGGGCCTTCTCAGGTCAGTACCAGTCCTTGCAGCCTGTAGGTAATTGGACACACTGCAGGGTCTTGGTGTGAAATGCTGCTTGTTGGTGTTTTCTGCAGTAGCTTATGCTTCCCAGCACCCACAGAGCAGTACAGAAGCTCTATTTCCGTGTGACCAAGGCAAGATCAGAAGGGTGCTTCCAAAAGGAAAGGTTGTTCCCCTCTTAGCTGGTATGGGTGTGTATTAAAAAAAAAACCCAAACCAAGAGCAGCTGGTCTCTGCTTCTGACATAACCATTGTCTGCAGCACAGGCAACACATCCTGCTCCATTGTGCCTTGATGTAAAGCTCCACAGGGACATCCTGGGAGGGATAGCAAGGGGCATGTCCATGTGAATCCACTGGAGTGGGACTTATGGCAGTGGAGTTGAACATGATGGAGAGGAGCTGCTGACCTTTGCTGCTGGTAGCTGGTGAAATGGCAAGTGCAGGGATTTTTCTGCTGTGATGTGACTGCTGGAAGTATTTGTCTGGTATGATCATTGAGGGGTGGGGCAGAGGGGAGAAGGTTTTTATTTCCTTTCTCTGAAGTGTCAGAGTTTGGCTGTGGCTAGAAGAACAGCGCTGTAGGGAAAGCACAGGTGGGGTTAGTGGTGTTAAACATTTCTCAGGTGTTGGGTTAGTGTGTCTGGCTGACAGGCTCAATTAAGCTGCTTTCCAGGACAGAGGTTAGGAATGGATTTTTCTACAGATCAAGCTGTCAGAAATGGATGGAATCCGGTTTCTGCTGCTGTATGTGTGTGTGCAAGCGTATGCATGTGTGCCCAGCATCTTCTTACACCTGGTCCCAGAGCAGTAACTTCAGCAGCAGTGATGTTTTCAATTGTTTGTCTTCCTTGAATTTTTTCCCTCTATTTTGCCTTCAGAACTTACTATGAGTTTGCCCGTGGGGATGGTGGGAAATGGGGGGTAGGGTAACTGTTTATGGACTCCTTCAAACTGAGCTTTTGTGCCAGGTTGCAAGGATTTGGCTTGAACTATAGGAGTTCATTTCAGGTCTGTGGTCAGATACACTTGCATTGGTGTCTTTGCTGCTTTTCAATGATCTCTATTCAAACAACTGTCCAGGCTTTGATTTCTTTTCCTGGTGGCAGAAGGGAGAGAAGAGGACTTACATAAATGAGTAGCAGTGTCAGTAGTCAAATCAGGTGGGATGCAGGGAGCCACTACAAGGTCCTGGTCTATCTATTGACCTGAGATTGAAGAGCCTGTAGGCCTTTGCAGCAGAGCTAGGAAAATTATCTCCTCTCTGCTTCTAGATGATTCCCATCTTCATAGCTACACTTCTTTCCCATATTCCCTCTCCTTTCTAGAGGCAGAGCCTGGGGCATCATCACACTCCACATCACCTCTCCTGTTTTCATTTTTGCTAAGAGTTAG